CGTAGCTATTAGATTTATGTTTGCAGAGGAGGTACGAAAGGAAGGAGATATCGAGCGGCTTGGAGGAGGATTTCGTCCGTTGGGACGAGGGACTAAGCAGCAGAAGAGAGAAGACAGCGGGGTTGAAAGCTAAACACGGTGAGATTGTCGTCACATCATAAAAATACTCCAGATACTAGATATAGACGATAGTCTTTTAACAGTCCAAGTTGATTTCCGCTATATCGTCCTCAACCTACGCCTTCGTGGTCGCACCTAGCGCCTCCACACCAGCATTCGCAACACTCAAATCCTGCTCCACACTACCTCCACTAACACCCACACCCCCAATCAAGATACCATCAACGTAAATGGGCACTCCACCCCCAAAAGCAATCAACCCGCCATTCGTATTCTGCACATCATACAGCGGCGCACCAGGCTGCACCGCCGCATACAAATCCGCACTCGCATACACGCCATTGAACAAGACAGCCGTCCTCGCCTTCTTCTGGCTAATGTCAATGGAGCCCAGGAACGCGTTGTCCATGCGGTGGAAGGCGACGAGCAGGCCCGAGGGGTCGACTATGGCGATGTTCTCGGGTATCTGGAGCGCCGTTGCGTTGGCGGTGGCGCCTGTGATGATGGTTTGGGCTTGCGCGGCGGAGATGATGTGTCGCTGTGCGGGCGTCGTGCCGAGTCCGTTTGTCGTGTTCATGGTGGCGGCAGCGGAGCTGAGTGTGAGGAGACTTAGAGTAGTACTCAGGATGGTGGTGAAGAAACGCATTTTGAATGGAAAGGTGGGAGGGTTGTTAAGGACAGGGCTTTGTCTATAGTCGGCAACTTGCAGTTTATTCTTCTGCTAAGGTGTGGGTAAGGGAGACGTGGACAATAGTTGAAGATTTGAAATTCCCGTCCTTTCTTCTCTCGAACTTGCTCTGCCGTCCCGTCGTGTCCTTCACTACTTGTACTAGGTACGTATACGTACTCTATCCGATTTGGTCGTCTTCTCCGACCAGAAACCTCTCTACTCCACTCCTGCCGTCTTTCATCTGCAGGTACGCCCCGGACCTCGGTCTCGGATCAGGCCTCCCATGGCTGGCTTCCAGATTTTATGAAAAAATCTCTCTTCCGCTTGCTTGGATTGATTGCTAACAATGGTGCATCCCAGTGTTGCGTGGTCGCGGCGGTCTAGTTCACCGGAGACAAAAGATTTCAGGGTGTAGTGTGCGGGGACATGCTCTCAAGTGGTGGGTCGTTTCCGCTCGTTAGGCTCGTTTGGGCATGGTGGTTGAGCATGGCGACCGGGCCGGACGTTTTAGCGTCGGATGCTAGGGACCGATCCGATGCTCCTGTCCCTTCGCCGTGGTTGTGCGGGCTGCGATAACTTGACTCGCACTGTGCGACGTGGGGCTCTACAGCATAGTGATAGTGAACGGTGGTGGCGTGAGGTGGGACGGGCTGCTGGTATTTGTGTTCTCTGGTGTCTGCTTGGGACTATCGGCGGGAACGAGGTGTCAAAATCGGGACGCGCGAAAGTAGTGCATTGTGAGCTATAAGTGCTATGGGTATCTCAAATCAAAGCTCAGAAATTGCAATGCACGTCGGTGACGTGCCGGGCCAGCCGGTCATCTGGCGTTTCTCCTGCAGGCATATGCTCGATGCGCACATGACAGAGTCGGCATTCTGGTTTCTTCTTACGCTTTAGCTGTACAAACTCAATCCACACAACTCGAAACATTTCGTCAATCTTCTCTCTTTCCTCTTCATCGTCAATCAATCCCAGCAGCCCACCAATCTTTTCTTTCATATTCTCAAAGTCTGTTTCTTTCTTTTGTGCAGTCTTGGTCCATTCTCTGCAGATGGCGTTCTGTACATTAGCAACTTTGAAGCGCTTAAAGTTGCCTGTCATGATGGTCGAGAAGTGGGTTTCAAGTTCTGCAGCATAGTTCTCGAGATGATTCTGTTGCTCTTCCGCCGAATCCCAGAAGAGATTGAGAGACAGCCAAAGGTCCATGTTCCTTATACGGTACAGGTATTGCGCGGCTGTAGCTATGAAGAAGCCGCATGATACTGAGGTTGCTGTATTGAATATCATGTGAGACCAGAATGGTGGAAAAAGAAGAGTTTGACCTGGCTTCTGGATGATGAAAATACCATGTTGCAGTTCTGCGAGGATGCCCAGAGCAACACGCGAGGTGTTAGCAACATGCATCTCCCCATATGCTTTACGGAGGACGTCTAGGTTTGCCTGTAACGGAGGAAACGTAAGCCATACCTTCGAACCGGTCAAGAGCGTTGTGGAGAAATGATGGTCATGATATTCCAGCTCGAAAACCTCACCTGCAGGAGCGACTGTCAAGAGGAAGTCTGATTGACCTAGCATACCTTCACTTTCCCATCCCGGCATCCAGCGCCATGCCCGGTTGAAGGTAGGTGACTGCATGTGTACGACAGCACCAGGGTCAGAGTATGTCGGCGTTTGAATATTGTCAAGCAAGTGCATGATGGCAGTTGCGTCGTCGTCTGGTGAGCCGCGTGAGGGTGCAAAACGAAAGTGATTTTCGCCTCCAATATCGTTCTTGATCGCATTCTCTACTGACGCGGGGCTAGGAAGTGAGCTAAAGGTGAATGGTAACTCTGTAGACAAATTTGGTGTATCCCATGGGGATGGGCCGAATACACCGTCTTTTTCTTTGCGAAAGTGCTTCAGTTCGTCCTCATTCAAGGGATGAACACGTCCGCGTTGGGCCATCTCAAAGGCGAAAGCTGCTCGATGGTCGACTTGATAGCGTTCAAGCTCCGCCATGACGTCAACCAGGTCTTGGTTGTGTAGGTCAGAGCTAGTCGTGGCTGTATCTCCTGACACGCGCTGGGGTGTGGATGTCGTGATGACATGAAGGCTACCGGAATTGAAGTTCAAATTGTTGTCTTCTCGCAACTGCAGATGATTAGTAGCAGCCGTGACAGCTACTCTACGTGTAGGGAAATCCATGACAAGTGGAGTCTCGCAAGATGATACCGGTGGTTACGATGGATGGATATTTCTCCTGGAGTGTTGACTGGTATAGGACTGAGCTCCAAAACATGATTGCTTCGGGCCTCACATGACAAGTGAAGGTAGTTGTCGGTCGGTTAGTGCCACAAATTCTCGGCGAAGTGATTCACTTGTGCCTTTTGTATCAGCGGTGTCGTAGCGGGGTTGCTGCTGCCTTGCGCCAGCCACATCTGGTTCCTTGCCACTCAACACCATACTCATGTATAAGGTGGCGATGTTATCGTTTGCATCGCTCCGAGGGTATCAGCAGGACGCGTACGTTGATGGTGTTGATCGAAAAACATTAGTATAGAAATGCATGAAAATCATCTGGAATACTGAGGTCCTAACATGTCGTGGAGGCGATGAGCTAGCACAGCGACCAAATTTGTCCAGATACTGTAGGCTTCCTCAGTACGATGATAGAAAGAGAGAAACTAATGAAAGTACTTGTGGTGTTCGCGTGGGTGCAGGCCATCTCGATGTCGCTGCGCGCACCAGCCACCGCGCCAAACGCCAAGAGGCTAGCTCGGTCGGGCTTAGCCCGCCCACAGGTCTCAACACGGAGTTGCAATATTGAATTCGCGACCGACGACAACCCCACGACTAACACACAGGTATCACGCCAACACCGCCAACATGCGTACCTACGACGATTCCTTCAGCGGTCAAAAGATCTACCCGGGCAAGGTGCGTTACATTGCCCCTCCACGTCACGGCGCCCGCCACCCAGATGTCGAAATCCCGCCATCGCGACGGCAACAAGGCGGAGGATGATGGAACATGACAATCGGTCGGACATTTGCTGATGGCATCAACAGGGCAAGCTCTACATCCGTGGTGACAGCAAGATCTTCCGCTTCCAGAACGGAAAGACCGAGTCCCTTTTCCTCCAGCGCAAGAACCCTCGCAAGATTCACTGGACCACTCTCTACCGAAGGGCGCACAAGAAGGGTATCTCTGAGGTTAGTCGCTGCAGTTCATACACAAGACACGCGCTGTTGGGAATGTTTGGAGAGGCCGCAGACTATGACATCAGTCTACACTGCGGACAGGCTTGACAAACAAACGCATTCTCAGCAGCTGTGTCCTCTCAATTACATTACCTCGAGGCGCACTCGCTAACCACCTCCACTCAACAGGAAGTCGCCAAGAAGCGCACCCGCCGCACAGTCAAGCACCAGCGTGCCATCGTCGGTGCTTCCCTTGACGTAATCAAGGAGCGCCGCAGCCAACGTCCCGAGGCTCGTTCCGCTGCCCGCGCCGCCGCCGTCAAGGAGGGCAAGGAGAAGAAGGCCGCCGCCGAGTCAGCAAAGAAGGCTGAGAAGGCCAAGAACGCCGCCGCATCCGCACGAGGCAACGCCGCCAAGGTCAGCAAGCAAGGTGCCAAGGGTGCCGCACCAAAGGTGCAGGCAAGGACTCGTTAAGCTGGGTTCGATATGGCGTGCATAGTCTGGGTTATGGCTGGTTTTTCGGGATGACTCGGTGTTCTTTTACTCTCTTCCGATAAACATACCTACGGAAAATGGAATGAATGGAATGGCATCATGGCTTCTTCACTGACTCTTTGGCTTCGGTGTGCCGGGCTCTGTCCATCTTAGCGTCTGGCGCCATAGGGCAAATGCAATACCATGTCCTCACGAACACTGCGGAAGAGCTCGAATACCCATGTGTATGTATAGTACGACAAAGGAACCTGGGCTGTCATGGCGACAGAGTCATGGTTGTGTGGCATTGTCTGGATACACTTGCACATCCAGTCGATACAAGAAGTAATTCGACCACTAAGCATACCCAACTATCCGAATGATACGTCCAACGTGTGCATAGTGCTGTTGATGTTCGCACCTTGCTATCTGTCCACTGTTCCCTCGTCTGTAGAAAATCTCTGGCATGTTGCGAGCTCAAGTGTCCTACCCGTGGTCGGACAAGTCTCATCCGGAATATATCATCGTTATGCTTTCTGTCTCCCGAGAAGCGTCCTTCATGTAGGACGATCAAAATTATCTATTGAAGTCGTAGAGGGAGACGGGCCACGGTCCAGCAGCTCCACTATTTCTTTGTACTTCCTCCGTTGTTCCGCCAGCCAGCTCTCTGACTGGCCTGTCAAGTCCTCCGCCTCAGGGTCGAGTTCCTTCGATTTCAATTCCGATTCTATTAGCATGCGCGCTGTCATTCCTTTCGAGTCCTTCGCGTTAAGGTCGACATCCTTGTTTTTGACAAGCAGCTTGACCACCTCTGTACGTCCATCCTTTGCCGCATACATCAATGCCGTTTCTCCCATCTCATTTTGCAAATTGATTTCAACATTGCTGTTGCTGACCAGAAGCTCGACCACACCTACGCGTCCATACATTGCCGCTAGAATCAATGCCGTTTGTCCATGCTTATCCCTTGCATTAAGGTCAACATTCTTGTTGACGAGTAGCTCGACCACCTTCACTATTCCCTGCTCTGCCGCTTCTATCAATGCTGTTCGTCCACTTGTAGTCTCCAAGTTAGGATCGGAACCGCTGGCGAGTAGCAGCTCGACAGCACTCTTATGTCCAAAACTGGCTGCCACTATCAAAGCTGTTTCACCTGAGGAATTCTGTAAGTTAGGGTCAGCTTTGCCGACGCCAAGTAACAGCGTCACGAGATCTGTGTCTCCTTTCAATGCCGCCTCCATCAATGCTGATTGTCCATCTCTGCTTTGCGCGTTAACGAGAATGTCTTCACGTTTGAGCAACATCTGAACAATCCCTCGATGTCCGTATTTTGCCGCAACTATGATCGCTGACACATCTTCATCATGTTTCGCGTTGACGTTGACCTTGCCAGTGCGAAGCAGCAGCTGAACAATCCCTCGATGTCCGTATTTTGCCGCAATCATGATCGCTGATTCTTGAGCGTTGGCGTCAACCTCGCCAGTGCCAAGTAGTAGCTCAACAGTGTCTTGCCATTGTCCTTCTACCGCAATTATGATGGCTGACTTCCCTCTGTCATTTCGGGCGTTGACGTCAACCTTGCCAGTGCCAAGTATCAGTTCAACGATGTCCTTCGTGCTGGAGCTTGCTGCTATTGTTATCGCTGTACCCCCAAACCCGTCTTTACAGTTGACGTCAACCCTAGCATCACGAAGTAGCAACTCTAGAATATCCTTATTTTTCCTAATCACCGCTAGGGTCAGTGCAGTTGTCGATAAGCCCGACCTATCCACAGCATTCACATCGACATTAGTCATGTTGAGGACTAGCGTGACAAGGTCTCTATCTCCACAATCTACTGCCCAAATCAGTGGAATGCTTCCGTCGATGGCGCCAGCATCCATGTTTCTAAAATGAAGCATGTACTCAAGTAGCGATCCATTGCCGCTCATAGCAGCCAAGCGGTAATACTTTCTGGGGTTCCGGTCCAGGACATGCAGCTCAGACGCTCGATTTTGGATCAACTTGGTCGAAAGTTGGTGGATGAACTTATCTCGTTCGGAGACATGCAGGATATGCTCCAGCCAGTAAGCCTTGGCATATTCGTAGAAATCGAATCTGTTCTGCTGATTCGAGATAGAAGAGCCACGCATTTCTGCAATAACCTTGTTTAGATCGAAAGAAGTTTCCTTCCTAGATCTAAGGAGCTTCATAGCAAGACTACGAGTTGTGCTCGAGCTTATAGTATTTTGCAGGATCCTAGATGATGCTGATCCTGCAGTGATTGAACAGGCATTAACGTTCGACAACTGGGTCTCGAAAACATTGTACCCAAGGTAGGTAACGACAATATTTGCCAATGTCCTTCTCGCTTCATTGATTGAGGAGCCACGAAGAATGTGTTGTTTGACACTGTGATGCACTAGTCGCACAGTCAATTCTTCCTCGTCAACGATCAGAAGGCATCCGCAGCAGGCCAACGCCGATCGAACATGGTTCAGCGTTTTAGAAGGATCCCAATTTGCGTTTCCAGGGACAACACTCAGAGCTTCTTTCAACTCCGCTGTCGTGAGGGAGCGCTGAGCTGCTAGTACGACCTGCAGAGTTTTGGCTTGAAGGGATGGGTCTAAACTTCCTGACTTGTGCAAAATGCGCGCAAACGTCTCTGAAAGGTCTTTGGGTAAGTCTGCTAAGGCTTCCAGGATAGCGTGATCGGTCTTCATGCTGCACAACGACTGTATCTGAAGCGCCGCCCAGAGAAACATTCCCTGCGAACCGGCTACGAGCGCGTCCTGTATATCGATGATCAAAGTAGCATCTCCAACTGTCAGAAGTTCCTGTTCCAGACAACGGCGTAGGTCGGCTTCAATGAAGGCGTCAATGTCTGGATTCCTCTCTGGCAATGGGATCACTTGAGTGGACAAAAGATGATGGGTGACCGACTGCAGATCGTTATTCGGCTCCACGCGAAACGAAGCACAGATCCAGACGTTAAGTTTCTTTTGGATCCTCCCGATTTCTTGCACTACCACCTTTCTCTCATCGTTGTCACACTCGTCTAGCCCATCTACTACAAAGTAAGTTTTATGAATAGGAGGGTAGCCTTGGAGGACAAGTTCTAGTATCTTATCGGTGTCACCGGTAGTGTAGGTATCTCCGCAGCTTTCCGAGAGTATGTCAAGATCAACGACAGTCCGTAGCAGTTGCCGTGCTAATGAACCGAGGATAACGCGTGCTTGCAAACTTTCTGGGACATCGTGTCTGCAAAAGAAGTACGTTACCAACGGTCGTTCTTCCTGGGTAGAGAGGTTGAGGTCATCCACAATATTCGCTAGGAGCACGGATTTACCCGATCCCAGCTTGCCTGTGAATACCAGTGCGCAGGGATGCGAAGATTCTCTCCACTCTTCGTATCCTGCAAAGGTTGTAAAACGCGAGGTGTTTCCGGTCTTCCTCGTTTGCTTCCACACTATCTCGTGGTCGTATGTAGAGCAGAAGTCAAGCACTCGGTACTTCGTAGCAAGTTTCTGCTGATGCGATGCAGATTTGAACATTGACCGGGATAAAGCTCTAAAACCAGAACTTTCTTGGGCTTCATTTACTTGCACCTCCTTTCCAATTGAAGACGCCCACTTGTTAAGATCAGTCTGAAATGCTCTCAAGTCTCCGTCATTCAGAGAGGATGCGAATTGTTGGAGAACTGATTTCTGCCCGAACTTGAACAGACAACGGCAAAGCCCGACGACGACAATGAAGTATTCAGAGAGATACGATTGTAACTTCGTTGACTGAGGATACAACACGCTTGTCGCTTGGTGGCGTGGGGTCGATCGTCCGATGTCCATGAAGATCGATGACAGCTTGTCTACGTAGTTGGACACGCTCACAATCGACTGCACACAGTTAGTAGTTGATTGCGACTGTGATGTAATAAAATACCGACCAACAATGACATTCGCACCAATGACCATACACCACATGCTATCAGGTTCTGCGAACCTCCAACCACAACATCGCCAAGAGCAGCAAACTGCTGGACCCCTTGCAGGAAGTTTGTGAATCGTGGGCCGAAACATTGACCACTGAATTTCTTGGACACGCGACGATCAACTTCGGCCGTCAGCCGCATCACATCGGTCGGAGTAGGTGCCGTCGAAACCGACTGCGATTTCAGCGTGCGAAACGTAGTTTTTTGCTCCTGGGTCAGACTGGCTTCGAACTCGGAGACGGCCTGAGCGAGGCGGATCTCAGGCTTGAGCGACGAAGCTTTGGCTAGAGCTTTAGACATGACTGTCGCCATTGAACTAGAGTATTATGGCGATACAACGACTATGTATTGCCAGAGCAGTAGGAAATCGGAGAAGAAACAGAAGAACAGTCGGAGGTACAATTAAAGGTTCCGGTATGGCTCGTACTGGATCCATAAGACGGCAGTAATATTCGGTATGCGAAGCTGTAACGCAATGTGATACGAGAGCTTCTATAAAGTCTTCAATGAAAGAATAAGTAGAAGGTGGACAGACAAAAGGAGGCTGCGACGTCAATGATCAAGCGGAACGATAGCGCAGGTGCTGCGCACAAGGCTGAACGTGGCTGCGCATCTCAGCCGTAACAACCCCGCTTTCGTTTCGGATTCGTGTCGTTGATGTTACTGGTCGCTATTGACTATCCCACGAGCATATTTTTTCGAAGAGAACGCTGTCAAAGTGAGAACAGATAGAACTAAAGCAAAAAAGCTGATAAGACCATCAGAGCTGCCTGTACCTGATCATGTCAGGCTAAAAAGAGGCTAGCGCAATCACGTGGGGATGACGTGACGACTCTCTCAAAGTCGAATCCTTTGACAACACGGCACGCGGCGACAGAATATGGTGACTATACTCCTACAGAGTGAAATGCAGCCCTATGTATGTAAGCTCGGTGGCTTCGGCGACACAAAAGATTGTAAAACCTGACTAGCCTACCTAGGTACTCCCACGTTAAGCGTCACCTCCACATCGGGCACTACACCCACGTTGGGTAGTACTCTACATTCGGCCATAATCAGAGATCTTCACGCCCTACAACGGTTTGCGCCTTTCTGCGATCGAGGGATCCTTGAGCAGAAACCGTGCGCGTAAGCACCATCTTCGTGGCGTCCGCGGCTTCCGGAAGTACCGCATTCGAGATACCGGCAGTCGTCACACCCAAGAATTCTGCTTAGATCAGGCCGTTCGAGTTTGGTACATCCGGGAGACGGGTAATTTCCGAGAGCATCTGCTGCTCCTGTTGCGAACGGCAAACTAGCCTCACGTGGTAGTGATGAACTGCTTGTCTTCCCCACATGTGGTACGATGGTCGCTGAAGGTTGAGAAATCAATTCACCGGCGGTGTAGTACAACGGCCGTAAGCTTGATCATGGTAGCTGCGATCGAGGGAGTTCCCTTGAGGTGATTTACGCGGTAGCCGCACGCCGGCGGCCATCATGCTACCCTACAGGTGCTTCTTGGTGGGGACCCTGAACCATACCATACTGACTGTTGGATGCAGGGTCAGACAGAACAAAGTTCAACACACTGTGCAGATCGAATAGAAAGACCATGTTCTCTGCAGGAAACGCGATCTCATCTTTATTACGCAACTCTTCCGAGTCGCCATCGGGAAACTCGTGTCGACTTAGGTGACGTTTGCTGACTGTCCGGAAGGCGCTGCCTTGCTAGGAACTATTTCTTTCCAAATCCGTGGTCTTATGCGGTACGTGCGTGCGAGGCCTGGGGTACGTACATCCCGAAGTATTGCCCACTGGTTCAAAGTATTCACAGTCACGATGCAAATAGTACATGGAAGCAAAAGCTAGTGCCAAAAAGACGTAGGGAGTAGTTCTTCGGGCCGACCTCCTATGTAACACGCCTTGCCGAGCAAACCTAATTTATGACAAGCATCTGTAGCGCGACGCGGGTACCGTGCTCCCGACCCGCAGCGCCACGAAGAGCCTCAGTTATTGCGTATCTTGTCTTCTTTCATTTGCGCTCGCACCGAAATGTGTTCGACATGTCGGCATCATGAAGACTGACAGAGCAGAGGCGCTTTGCCACTACACGATCGTGTGATATTCAACACATAATTCAAAGCACTCGCACAACATCGTTGAGTCCAGCTCCGCTCGCTGACATGAAGGGACTTGGTCTCTTCGTTCGAGAGGTGCCGATCATCTCTATTGTTGTTGCAGAAAACTGGAGAAACCTCGAATCATCCGCACCCGTAGCCCGGAACTCGTCTTCTGGTACATGTGGCCCATCAAAATATTATCCCGAGAATCATACGGTCAGATAATACGTCCAAGAACTTCTCCACAGATGTGAGGAGATCCAGGAAAGTGATTAACGCCAAGGTCAGATCCAATGATTCAAGCCTCCATGCCCAGAATTTGATCTACAGTATAGTGACAGTATCCTCGCATACGTTCAAACGACTACCAAATATCTTCGCGACACGACTGCGTACTTTCCCTACTTCTCCAACCACAAATTCTTTCTACAATACTCATCTCTCCTATCCTTCCTGATATAGACGTGCAGGAGGCTGACTGAATCGCGCCAAGTGGGTTCTGGTGCTCGACTTTCCAGTAAGGCCGCGTAGTGCTTATGGTGGTAAGCGAGGTGAACAAGCCTAGCAGTGCAACACTGGTACTCATAGTTAACTCATTTGGGAAATCGAAACGTTCATCTTCCACACCACAATACGAGATGCGGCCGCCAAGTGTCACGGAGTTGCAGTCCTGGCTCGCCTCAAGCAGTATGCATCGATCAGTTTGAGCAGTTCGCCAGTACTGGTACGGCTTTGTGCTGGGCGGACAGAGCTTCATCTCTAGTCGAACAGCTAACCGATTTATACAAGACTAGAGGGCGAGGTAGAGCTTTACATATAGGACTCGCTCAACTCAGGATACACTCGTGGTAGCGATCATAAGACACCACGGCGAAATTCCAGATGGTCTCTCCGCGCTGCTTGTAAGAGCGGTGTCAACTCTCTCGTACATCCAGGGTATGAGTACGATCGTGGAAGTTGAAGGCGATGCTCCGGAAATGACCACGCACCACGGTGCTTCAGAATCGGTCCTCTACGCTCGTCGACTTGCCCTCGATCGAGGTGCCTACGTTGATAGAATGTCTATATAAGACCTCATAATTCACTTCTTCTCAGTCCATCACAGCAATCAGCTTCAGTCACTCATTACCACACTCTCTTTACCGAACCCACACTCCTTCAGATCTCTCGATCATCCCAACCATCTTCAAAATGCACTTCAACTTCTCTACCATTGCCGTGGTCCTCGCCGCCATGAGGTATGCGACATCCATGTTTCATCACTTACCTCGCTAACCCATTGAACAGCGTCGCCGTCGAGGCTGCCCCCAAGGGAGGACGCGGCCGTGCGAGAGTCAAGCAGGGTGCCAAAGACCACGCCGGCGACGTCGCTGGTGGTATCGCCACTGGCGCTGGATTCATCCCATCGACTGCTGGCAAGTAAGTCTAACGCCCAGCCATCTCCTGCAGCAATTTCGAAGCTGACGGTACGACTCAGGCACGTAATGCACAACTGCTGCATCAACTCCGGCGGCTGGACATACAACCCGGACGCTGTCGAGCTTACCAAGAAGGTGTGCAAGAATTTCACATCCGCCCAGTGGTACAACAACGCTTGCACTGAGGCCGCGGGATCTGAACCTATCTCTGGTGACTCTTTCTACTCCGCTTGCAAGGCCGCGAAGCCCGAGGGCGGCGACACCATTGGCGCTGGCTACCGCGCTACTTGCTAAGCGGCCAGTGCGGTTGCACATTCGCGACGAGCCGCATTGTTCATCGATGGGAGAACTTGAAGAGATGATTCAAGAGATAATGAGGCTGGCGGGTTAACTTTCAAGTCACTCCTTATGCTGCTCTGTGGAGTGGATATCTATCTTTATCTGTAGTACTTAATATTAGGCGTTGTTTTGGAAAACTTTGAGTTGACTTTTGCATGCGAGTGAATATCTTAGGTGATCATGTAGAGACAGCTCTATCACATGCTGACCATGGAACATCATCAAAGAACTGATGGTGTTCACAAGATATCGCTAACAGTGACCTCGAGGCAATCAAGTCACCATTGTTCCGTCTTCTCTTGGCATCTTCTCAAAGCCTCAGCCAGAAGGATCAAAACGATACAAGCAACACAGCCAGAAGAAAGCAGAAGTGTTCAAATATGATCATAGTATTATTATCCTCCACATTACCCAGTATCGCCCTCATCTCAACTCAAGTCCTATAAAACGCCTCGTAATCCCAGTGGTATATGCGCATCCCAAAAATCACTTTTTGTTTTACCCTTCCCCAGGGTATCTGCGCATCCCAATATCCCAAAAAATTCACTTTTGTTGACCTCCTGTCCCATTACTAACCTCCCCGGATCTTCTTTCCCCCTAAGAAGCTCACTTCGCAAAGTCGCTTTCTAGTTGTGAGGAGCACCGTAGGTGTGCTCGTAAGCATTGCTGACGCTCCTGTGGTGCTCAACAATCTTGTTCTTGAGTCCTTTCCAGGCCTTTTGGTAGTTCCTGGGTCCCTCTTGCGCAGCCTCCTTCTCCTCAAAAGTAGCAGGCGCAGCACCGACGCTCTTCCTGGATGCCTCGCCGCTCTGCCTCGGGCTGCTCGCAGTAGACGATGAGCGAGATGCGGAGGGAGAGAAGCTGGGGCTGTAGTAGACGGCAAAGGCAGAGTTCATCTCTTGGTGGTGCTTCTTGAGGGCTTTCCAGGCCTTGGAGGCGTTTGTGGGGTTGCGCTGTTGGCTGGAGGTGGTGGAGGGGTTGCGGGAGGTTTGTGTGGAAGATGCGGGGCTGGTGTAGGTGGATACGGAGCCGCCGTAGTAGGCGTTGCAGGCAGCGTTGATGCTCTCGTGGTGGGCCTTTGCGTGAGCCGCGACGGAGGAGAGGAAGTTGGGCATTTTGATGGTTGTGGTGGTTGTTTGTGTTGGAGTGTTGATCGATGTGATGTTGATGCTTGAGATGCGATCGAAGATTGGTAGTAGTGGTAGTAGTTGCTTTGCTTGTAGTATGCTTTACTGTGCTGATGTCCTTCATCCTCACGTACCCACCATCCTCTTTATACTCCCCCAGCCCATCCCCCAGAATATTCTCTATGACACTTGCCAAGCATCACCGGTCACACCTTACATTCAAAACTCTTCGCCAAAATTTTAACAGACCACACCGTTGCGCACGCCCTGCACACGTCGACGAAACGATCGTGAGATTCTGTGGCGTCCGCCGCTCTGATTGGCCACAGGGCTGACAAACCCATAGAATTCCTGTCATCGAACACCTTAACAGGGCGTGAGAGGGTCCGTGCCACGATCATTATGACCACCAGGTGTCCACGCCCTACCATGGTGCGTCTTTTCCGAAGGCGCGCCGGAGCGTTTCCCGTCGGCGGCTAATTTCGTCAGGGCGCATCGTGTGTGTAAAGGCGCGGTGATGAGTTTTCGGTTCGTGTCCTCCAAAGGCAGTCTTCTAGCAGCTAACGGCATGGCGGGGGAAAATTCTGTTATTGGCTGCCACGCTTCGTCGCACCACGCTGTGTACCTGATCCACGCAGGGCCTTTCCCGCCGCCCAGTTGCCCGTCGGATGCCAAGTTTGCTTCTGTGCTTTTGGGCTAGACTCTGCTGTTGCACTGGGAGTGGATGTTTGTACGTAAAGTCGCTGTTTTACCTTGTGCGACATGTCCGTTAACTGTTAGAAGAATGCCTTTGGAGGTTTGGCGACGAAAATTTGATGTTTGGTGAGGGCGCGCCCGCGTGACGACGATGTGGTCGGTGTGGATAGGGGGTGATGATGTGACAGCAGGTGAGTGATTTTCTGCAAGCTCACGATCGTGTTCACAGATCCTTCTCGATGGCACAAGCTGTCATCTGACTGTCGTGATCGTGAGTCTTGCGATGTGCGACAGACGATGACTCTGCATTCATCAGCTACAATACTACGCGCATTATGCAGCGTCAGCGACCCAGCGCCGTCTACATCAACGTGGAACTGTCGCAAACATCAGCATGATACGAGCTTACGTTTGTCACCAAATGGCCGACCGACGATGCAGCGCAGTTTTCGTATTCTTGGTAGAGACTCGCAAACCAGACGCCACCCAATGCAAAGACAGGTCTATTACGCAAACATCTATAAATTCAACGCGGAGGAATACGCGACCCTATTCACAGTCGGATTGCGAGAATCCCCACACCCCACCAGATCAGCAACAGCAAGCCTGCCGGCCAGCTACCCGCGATCGTACTATGAGCTCGTACCGTACCAGCGATAACCGGGCCTCCTGTGGGGTACAAATAGCCGTTCGACTGCCCGTGATAGCTTCCTCCACTTACACCGCACCCTGTTCCCAACGGATCTGGCTCCCTCGTCAATGTGGCGATTGTAGTAATGGGTTGAAGGGTTCTTGTAGCTCCTTGTACGACTACAGCAGTTCCGCTATGATCTAGGCTCAGCGTCGTGCCGTTTACAGTGACGGGGGCGCCGCCTGGAACAAGAGTTGTACCAGGACCCATCACAATGTAGCCAGCGCGATTTGGCGTGTAGACATGATTTCCGTAAGTTAAAGCAGCTGCGACTGTGGTATATACGTTGCCAAAGATCGGCGTGATACTGGTCGTTCTTCCGTTGACGATGAGCGCTGTCGCGGAAGATGCGAGGGCAAGTGTTGTGCCAGATATCGTAAGTGGTTCGCCTCCAGGAAGAAGAGTTTGACCTGCGATCACGTACTGTGTCTGCGAATTTGGTGCGATGGTTTGGGTACCAATAGTGAGTATTGGTGGAAGTGGTATCGGTGGTTGCGAGACGGGCACATCTGTAGTTGCGGACTGGAAAGGCAGCAACGAGATGATGGTAGTACCAACAACGATCTTAGTCTTGCCATCTGAGGTCTCGATCGCCACAGGTGTGTCTCCAATGGTAACGGTGTCGCCAGGCGTCAGAGTAAGAGAACCCCCTACTACAAAACCACCGCTTGGGTCTTGATCGACGACAATGTCGGACGCACCAGCCGATATCGTTACCTGCGGAGGTCTTTCCGTGGTTGCTTGCGCGGTCGCTTCTTGGACAGTAGAGCCATGTTGTTCTCCGACTGGGGTATCAAGCCACCCTGTTGCAGGTATCTCATATACTGGCGAACATCCTCTGCATGGCCGTGTAGAACTGAAGTTGGGCTCAGGGATCTCATGATGGCCATTCGGATCTCCAACCTCCGTCACGGCTGGTGGAATTGGTCTTAGGCCTTGAACTGTCGATATCATTGGTAGCGTCCCTGTAGCATTTCCTTGAGACGAGGTTAATATGGTTGTCACATCTGTTAGCGATGCGTATGGCGGGTTGAGTGCTACGACTGAGGTTGGTAAAGGCGCTGTTGTGACGATAACGGGTGAAGGTACCGTCAGAGCTATGGGCCCTGATGTGGAGGACAGACTGCTGAGGGTAGACTGAGTTGGCCGCGAAGGTATCAAGTTAAGAGGGCGTGATCGGACAGCCGGCGGAGGCGCAGCATTTGTTGATGTACCAGAGTTGGAGTCTAAGTGGTAACACACGTTTCGTCAGTCATCGAAAACCGGTGTTCGTCAATGCAACTCACTTGGCTCCAATATCATTGAGTTCAGGCTTCCCGCTGCCGCTGCCGATCCATGGTCGGGTAGTTCTTTCTCAGGTTAGCACAACAGGCTTTTGTTTTTACGACCACCAACGTCCGGCTCCCTACCCGCTGATGGTAGTGCAGATGTAACACCTATCCAAATAGCGCCGAGGCACAACAAATGGTACAATGGGAAATTGATAGCAGAGCAGGTGATGCGCATGGCAGCCCTTGGAGATGGATACCATAGGGTCGTAATGCGGGAATAGTAACCACGAGAAGCAGGAAATCTGCAGCCTTACATTTCATCCGGGTGACAGCCCTACTCAATACTTGATACGGAATCTGAGCAAGCATAGAAAGAGGATGAATCGTAAATCTCCGCGTTCTACATATACCGAGGAAGTGGCCGGTGACTGAGATAAAGACTGGAACAGTGGTACACAGCATCTACTTAGATTGCTATTGATTAGACTTTCATAGAAGCTGGGGTCGTTATTGTGCCGATTGGAAACGCCCGAGTGTGGAGATGGCTTTACCCGGAGCGGGAACGCGATATTATACGTCAGCTGGATGTTGGCCAGCGGCTGGTTCCTTCTAGGTAGCTTAGCGAGCCTTGACCCTTGTCCAACACTCGACTCTGCTGCAAAGCTGACCACGTTCCCCCATGAACGAACGAGTCGCGATTGCGCAGGTTTTGGTAAATGTCTACAACCAGGTCGAACGGATTCCAGAAGCAGGGATCATGAAGAAATGCCATGTGGTCGACCAGGGCGCCAATTCATAAGTGATGTATGCTGTCTTCAGTGCGTCCGGCATCTCATGATCATCTCGACATGACAGGAGCTAAGCATAGATGGTTAGTCCTGTTCCATGGTACTAGTGCGTACCTACGATCTACAGTCTAATGCTTTTTGTGCAAGCTTTCTCGACGACGAACTAAAAGTCCTTTTGAAAACTTAAACGCAGTCAATGAAATTCCCATGCAAACACGACTTGTCGACACAACGTTGGGTTTGCGGAGAGACCATGCGAAGCGCTCGGGACGGGTGGCGTGAACGACATTCACCCGGATCCATACAGGCGGCAATCCTCCCATGCAAAACCGGACACACATGGTAAAGATGTGTAGAGTATGTTTCCAGGCGCCCGCTAGAAACGTCCCTCGCGGCAACCCACAAATCACCGGACCTGCATTTGTCGGTGTGCCCTGGGCCTGATACTATCTGGGCACGGAAAGGTCTTTGGAGACTTGATGTTTTGATCATGCGGCCGCTTTCACGGGTGATAGCGGAAGGTTCATGCGTGTAGCCGGCGTATGCCTCGCTCCCGATGTCGCTCCGAGCTTTCGCATAAGGAGTTATGTTGGTATGTTGAATCGGGGGGTGTTGTTTGGACCATCGGCGTTAAAGTTTCTTTTGCCAAATCCAAAATCTCGTATAGCGGGAACAAAGACGATGAAGGGTGTTCATGATTGGCCTTGGGGACCAGAGGCCGCTGATCTGACCTGCCTGGAGATGACAACATCGACAACAGCTTCTTCGACATTGGTCGGTTGCCGCGTTGCCGTATACAACAAGAAGAATTGGTGAGATCAGCAGCATCAGTAAATATCGAGGAAGATACAACCTTAGCGTGCCACGTGCGGCTAGCAGCTACGACACTCAGAGATCGATGTAGAAAGTTGCAAAGCAGCAATCCGGCATAGCGATTCACTGCAGAGCTCTTCATGATCAGGAAGGTATTGCCCGCCCAGTTGGTGACTCCCGACTGATAGATGGCTAGGCCATTGGGTTGCAGTCCAGTGAGCATCTCAGGCTGCTATCCTGATGCTGTAATCAATGCCACCAACCGTAGGATGCGATGCCGCTCAGACAACAAGACATAGAGGTTCCAGTGCCGCAGCTGCATCTTTCTTGATTTTCATCGACGCGGGATCTGTGATGATGTTACTGGCAGTAGAAGGTGAGGGCTGGTGATGGTCCGACTTATCGATGGGGGCGGCGGAGCGCGACTGCCCACCACCTGCTCGCTTACTGCTAGCGTCCCTTGGCACCAACGCAGCTGCGAAAATGAGTTTCGCGAATTTCCTCTTCGTCTTCTGACAAGCGCCAACTAACCCCACGACAACACAGATTGCACCAGGAGACCCGACATCAGGTACGCTTTACAGAACACGCTCTACTCGAATATTCGGACCCGTTCAGCATTGCGACACTCGAAGCTGCCCCGCGACTGGTCCGCCGCCGTCAGACGAAGTGTATGGTCGCACGCGAGCCGCTCGATATCTATACTTCTACACCTGGCTATACAAGGCGGGGGACTCTGCGGGCAGCGGGAGCAATGCTGCGGCTTCGTCCAACTGCAATTGAGGACAAAGGCTAATTTGATTGTGTGGGACAGCGTCTTCTGAACAACCGCAATCATGGGGTATCTATTCTTCCCTCACCGTCAGTCTTGTACAAGCACTAACACCCGCCAGTATCTCACGAGACTCTCGCCACAAGCGTTCCGCGTCCGGTGCGAAGCGCGCATACTACCGCAAGAAGAGGTATGCATAACCCGATCGCTTCTCTAGTCATGTCTAACATGGCTTCAGGGCTTTCGAGAAGGGCCGCCAGCCTGCCAACACCCGTATTGGCACAAAGCGTGTTCATCTTGTCCGCACCCGTGGCGGCAACCGCAAGTTCCGTGCCCTTCGTCTCGAAGCCGGTAACTTCTCCTGGGGCTCCGAGGGCATCGCCAAGAAGACCCGTGTCATCGGTGTCGTCTACCACCCCTCCAACAACGAGCTCGTCCGTACCAACACCCTGACCCGCTCCGCTATCGTCCAGATCGATGCCGCTCCCTTCCGACAATGGTACGAGGCCCACTACGGCTCTTCGCTCGGCCGCAGGAGGCAGGTCAAGGCCGGTGAGAAGGAGGAGGACAAGAAGAAGTCCAACTCGGTCACCAAGAAGCAGGCCGACCGCTTGAAGAACGGAGGAAAGATTGAGAACGCTGTTGAGAAGCAGTTCGAGGCCGGTCGTCTGTACGCCGCTGTCTCTTCCCGTCCCGGCCAGAGCGGTCGCTGCGACGGCTACGTCCTCGAGGGTGAGGAGCTTGCTTTCTACCAGCGTCTCCTCAGGAAGTAGAGGTGATATTTGGGGCTTCTTCGGTGCATTGGTCAGGTCAAAATGGGTGTTTAGTCATGTATCTGGTCTGCATAGTCGCGGGACACTGAATGCACGAGGCATCATAACGCCACTTCTCTAGATACCACGAGACTACGATGAAATGGGTTTCAAATGTTCATGTGGAGTCTTTTTTCCTTTCCGTCCATCTTGCTACCACTGCACATCATTCATCGGTCCAACATCACGAAGCTGACATACCACGTCAACATATGTCCATCACCGTCGCTCCCACGTCGTTCAAGTATGATGACTGAAGTAAGAATTTTATACAAAGTGCACTATTAATCATCATCATCATCGCTATGCATAACTTCCCAAGGTAATCCCATCGCCTCTTCACATGCTAACCCCTCTTTCTTATCCATGCGAACCACTCTCCACCGAGCTCCATCCCTACCGTCCACGCACTCTTTCTACCCGACAACCTGGATCACACACCTCGGCACACGTTTCGTTTCGTCACATCTACAGCTTCGATGCCGCAACCGGAGAACCGACCTATGGTGGTAGCCGCGTCAGCTTGTATTCACGTGCTTGAAGTTTTTTACTTGTTTTTTGTTTCTCAGCGCAGCGGCGGTGTAGGAGCGCGCAAGTGTAGTGCAGGTAGTGTAGATAATAACAGCAAACATGATGGTGGAACGCTTCTTTGCATTTCTTGATTTAAAAACAGAACTCTTTTTCTTTTCTTTTCCACTTCAAAAAAGGTCTGGAACATTGGTATAAAGGTTTACAAGGATAACAGCAAAGTGGATAAACTCATGATAGTAGAAGAAAAACCATGGCAAGAAGACTACAACTTGGAGGCTCCCTTGGGCGGACCTACATTCGTAATCTCATTGTAGAGCAGTCTGGACATATAGTTAGCACATGAATCGATCTTTTTACCATTGGCAGAGTCCAGTTCATAAGGTGGAAAGAAAGAAAGAAAAGTCACTTACGAAGTCAAAAACTCGGCGTAGTCTTCACCAGTCACCTGTCCCTCAAAGTACTTCGCAGCAAGATGGAACTTGTTGCCCTTTGGCGCCTTATCACTCAACGCCTGCGCCTGCTCCTTCAGCAGCTTGAGGGCGTAATCCTTGGTCACCTTCTTGCCCTCGGCAGTCTCGACGTTATGCCTAGTCCACTGCCAGAGTTGTGAGCGTGAGACTTCAGCGGTGGCGGCATCTTCCATGAGGTAGTTGATGGGAACGCAGCCTACGCCACGGATCCAGGCCTCCATGTAGGACAGTCCGATATCGAGGTTCTTGCGGATACCGTCCTCAGTCACTTTGCCGGGGACGTTCATGTTGAGGAGGTCGTTGGCAGTAATGTGGACGTCCTCGCGACGGACGTGCATCTGGTTGGGAGCAGGCATGTGCTCGTTGAAGACCTCGCTTGCAATGGCTGCGAGGGCCGGGTGGGCGACCCATGTGCCGTCGTGGCCGGCGCGTGCCTCGCGCAGCTTGTCGGCCTTGACCTTGGCCATGGCAGCGTCATTGGCGGCTTGGTCGTTCTTGATGGGGATCTGGGCTGCCATGCCGCCCATGGCGTGGACACCGCGCCTGTGGCATGTCTTGATGAGGAGCTTGACGTAGGCGTCCATGAAGGGTGAGGTCATGGTGACGGAGTCGCGGTCGGGGAGGACAAAGTTGGGGTTCTGGCGGAAGCGCTTGATGGTGCTGAAGATGTAGTCCCAGCGGCCGCAGTTGAGACCGGAAGAGTGGTCGCGGAGCTCGTAGATGATCTGCGAGTAATTAGTCAAAGCATGGGATGGAAGTAAGAAGTGGGACATACCTCGTCCATCTCGAAAGCAGCGGTGATGGTTTCGATCAAGACGGTACCACGGATGGTGCCACGCCTCATGCCGATGTAGTCTTGCGCCAAGTTGAAGGCGTCATTCCATAGTCTGGCCTCAAGATGCGACTCCATCTTGGGCAGGTAGAAGTATGGTCCGGTTCCGCGCTTGACAAGCTCATGTGCGTTGTGGAAGAAGTAGAGTCCAAAGTCGAACAGTCCACCCGAGATGGGCTCGCCATCAACTGTGAAGTGCTTCTCCTCCAGATGCCAGCCTCTCGCGCGAGCGATGAGTGTGGGCAGTGTTCGGTCGGTGCGGAGCTTGTACTCCTTCTCGCCTTGCTTAAAGTCGACTTGCTTGCGGATGGCGTCGTAGAGGTTGAGTTGTCCGTTGATCATGTTGTCCCATGTTGGTGCAGATGAATCTTGGAGACGTTAGCCATCGTCCTCTGCTCAAAGTGACAATCTACGTACCCTCGAAATCGGCCATATATGTCCAGACATTCGAGTTCAGGGCGTTGACAACCATCTTGCGATCTGTCGGGCCAGTAATCTCGACGCGCCTGTCAACAAGACCTGGCGCTGGTGGTGCGCCCTTCCATGCATCGTTCTCGCGGATGTGCTTGGTCTCTGGGAGAAAGTCGAGAAGGTTGCCCTTGTCGAGCTCAGCTTGTCGGATTACTCGTCGCTGCAACAGCGCTTTCCGGCGCTCATTGAATGTGCGGTGGAGGAGCGCAAGGAAGACACAGGCGTCCTTGCTGAGGATGTGACGGTTCTGGTCGTTGAGATCGCCGAGGATGTTGACCTCTCGTAGAATACTGTCGGCGCTAGCTGCCATTATGAAATATGTATATGTTCTTGTACAATTGATGAATATCTTCAAGGTACGAGGAGAGGAATGCAATCAAGTATGCAGCGTGCGGAGAGGGCTGGGCGGCCGGTAGATAATATATTCATGATACAAACGTCACCCATCTTGACGTCTGGGCCGAGGATCATCTTGCGTCGGCAGACCGATGCAGGCTAGTCGGCTGGCCGTGAATGGTAAACTCCAGGCCCAGGTTCGGGGGAGGGGAGCTTCGAGCTTGTGACGATGCCAAGTCCCGAGCGAAGATGCGGGGATAACCCAACCCGTTAGCACTAACTCGCCCGATCAGCACAACAAACCCTGACGAACAGTGGGTTAGCAGACGATTGAACGCGATAAATGTCTGCGCGATATCGCCGTAGTAATGATTTTCACGTTGATTCGTGGATAGCAGAGGCTGCTGACGGACTGCACCGGCAATTGACGGAAGTCGCGATGCTGATGCTTGATAGCAAGCGCGTTGCCGACAGCTTCGCCGGCCACTTCCGATGGCGCGTCCAGGTATGTAATCTTGCGCATTCCTACCACGGCACTTACACAACGATGCTGGAGTCTAGCGACCTTTTTATGATTCTCAGTCCTGATCATTAGCGGTAGACGGTGTCGATCGCTGAGCGAAGACGTCAATCAGTCGTCATTCGCACATGGCAAGTATAGCGGGAATAACACCAGCCGAGCATCGTAGCACATGCAGAAGAAATGAACTAGAGCGCGTCACACAAGACCATACGATGAGTGCTTTGCCCTCTGGTCCGTGTCAATGAGGAACAGATATCATGCCCCAGGCGTAGCCGAGGTATGCCTAGCACCGAAAGGCTTCAGAGGGTCAGACGCACATGGTAGAAAGGTCAACAGCATAATTGCTTTCATCATGAACATAGATTTCTTCTAGATCTGAGGATACAGGTATGTCGCATCTTTGATAGACATTGAGCCCATCACTGCGCTCTTCAGTAGCTCTTAGCTAACCTCTCGTGTAGGTAAGCCGGCCACAAAGATACCATGTCACTCCCTCCATCGCTATCAAACACACGAAAGCCTCATTCCGATCCTCTACACCTTCGTCACCGCAATTTCGAACGGAGTGTTCGCACTCTTCAGACCCCATGTACAAATTCCGCTTCCACCACAGCTCCCAGAAAGGTTGTCCCCAACCGCAAAGTGTCCCTCCGCCTCGAACGACTCCGTGAACTGCTCACCCCGGTACACCAAATCGGCCACGTGCGTGAACTTCAGGTTGAAGTCACCGGTTGCGAAACCGCTGCTTCCCGCGAGCACGTTCATGATCCAGTAGCCATTGGACGTGGCATCGCATGGCCAGGTACGATCGAGGGGTGACTCGCCCTTTGTGTACCATTGCGCCTTGCAGTTCTAAGCTCGGGTTAGTGAAGGCATTGGCATATTTGGGACAAGAGAATGAACATACGAGGCCTTGGCTTCCTGCTGGCACGGTTACGTTGCTGCCGTCAGACTGTGATGTGCCGAGGTTGATCTCGTTGGGATCGGTCACGGAAGCTGTGATCTGAGCCCATGGATAGCTGCCGGGCCGTCCCGACGGGCTATAGGAAGTCACCTTGTTGACTTGGAAGTCCTGAAGCGTAGCTTGACGAGCTGCGAGCGGAGATGCTGCGGCTGAAGATGCAATTGCCAGAATGGCTGCGAAGGCGGTTTGTGTGAACTGCATTGTGATGGTAGGATTTTGAAGTGCTGACCGTTGGTGTCCAGCACATGGAGTTCCACTTTGGCTCTTCTTATACACAATATGCTGCTTGAGGCCTCCCAATTTTAAAAGCACCATCACTGTACATCCGCCTTCCCGAACGAGTATCCACGATATTCCGTCAACCAGGAGCTTGACAGGTTGCCTTGCATTAGTCACCCCACATTTAGGCATCCCGCGCCTAATTTTAGGAGGATCTACGTCAGTGTACCGCAATACGATACTCTTCGCCTCGCGATGCTGGATTACTGATGCTCGTATGATGCTTTGTAGAGACTTGTACGACATACACAACGTGAGATGTCGAGCGCCATTTTGTCTACTTCTATGAATGACCGTGGTTGGGCATATGTCAATACCAATGATTCCAATGTCTGGTCCATTAAAACTGGGTTGCACGATATCGTACTCCAGCAACAACAGCGTCTACACCGCCTTAGTCTCTCGTACTCGTCCGGCCTTACACATCACGCCCTCAACCTTCAGGCAAGAAAACTCGGCATTTAAATCGTGGTCAACGTAGTGCAGCGTACATAAGAGCAGCTACACATGCTTTGTCTTTCAGGAGAGTCCGAGGAACATGTCTTCCAAGGAAAGATATCTCCTGGAAGGAAGGGGATGTATTCCCAGGTATCTTCGGCGAGGCAGACATCATGTTCGCTGTCTGGCAAGAGCTGTACACCCGTTCGTTTTGTTAGAACCCAACCCCAACCCCCCTGGTGGCTGTTCACCACCGCTAATGTTGCCCTCCTGTCTTCACCTATCGCACTTGCTCTAGCATGCGTACAATGGCATGCCCTCCATGAAATTGAGATTATCAATAGGTGCTGACCATTTGGAGCCACCACCCGAGCCGTCCACTGGCCTCTCACATTTCATCATAGTGTGACAGAACAAGCACACCACACTAAAGCAATAAAACATTGGCGGGACAACGGCTCTATAGCGAGTCAAATTTCATACTCAGTTACCGAGACCGGTTATGTAGCGAGCGCAGTTTCGCAGCGAAGAAGGGTCCTTAGCAAGAGTGAATCTACTGCGAAAATGTATTATCGACACTCACATAACCTTTGCCTAGGACATATCACAGAGGAGAGTCTAGAGAAACTGATCATTACCGATTAAGCAAAAGCCGCCGCCTCCACCACCACCTCCGCCGCCTCCTGTAATTCCACCAACTTCGCGACCACTAGCTCCCCTGCTTCCAGGAAGCGGCGGAGGTGGTGGCGGCGGCTTCCCAACCACCGCCACCTCATCTAGCATATCGCTTCCACTGCTGCCGCCTCCTCCACCGCATCCGCTACCTCTACCCCATCAATTCCAGAAACTCGTTGAATCTGACATAGTCTTCATATCGCTCTCGAAGCTGTCGTCTAGCTTCGTCTTGTTGTCGAATCCTTCTACGTCGTATTTCGATCGCGTAGTCTTGAGTAGGGGATTGGATTAGCTGGATTATGGTGCGTTGCATCTAGAACGATGTCAACTTACGATGAAAGGGCGTGTACAACCACTTGCGCACAGCAGGTGAGGCAACAAGCACGCCAATAAAGATACCAATAACTGCTACGCAAACGCTGACTAGAGTGAAAATGTCTTGTCGCGACCATCTTGTGGAAATTGTGTCAGAGGTTGTAGAACTTTGTTGACTGTTGAAGTCTGCATCGCGGACGGCTTGAGTGGGAAAGGCTGCAATCAAGGCGATATGGAGAGAAAGACTCGCAGTGATAAGGGGCGTCATTTTAAAACCAAACTTGTTGCTTTGGGTCAAGAAGCATACTAGGGAAAGGGAATGAGCAAAGGACATTCTTTTTGAAGGCACCTTCACTGGAGCAAAAAGCCCAACATACAAGGCCCAGAGTGATGTTTGGCGATCTGAGGGTTGCAAAAGTCATTCCAATTGGTCGTGCGTGAGTCAAGCGGCATCGAATGTTGCCGCGGACCGTAGACCAATCCGTGCTAGTGCTTAGCCACGAGCGCCTTGCCATTGGCAACCGTCCAGGCGGTGAGGGTATCTGCCGAACTCTACAAGTAGAGCGTGATACTTGGGAAATTATATATACTTCTCTGGGCACATGTCACCTACCAGCCACCTGAAATGGTTGCATCTTCGCTTGACCGCTACCAGCGGAGCTCTTTGCTCACCACACTCCAACAAATGCCCTCCCTTCCTGACCCATAAAAGATGCCGAGAGATTTACGACTTCCCAAGACCATATGCTCTATACATAAGAAGAGGATCACCAGCGAGAAGTGTCCCAGATATAAGTGGATAGCCGTGCTGATGCATAGTTTTGTCCATATTACAGCGCATTCTTCTCTCCTCTGGACTATGCGAGAAGGTTGGCATCAAGCTCTGACTGGTACCTTCCAGTGATCTGGTATTGAATATCGTTGTAGCTACCAAAGACACTAATCTATACAAAAGGAAGGCAACCCCGACTCATAACACCGCATGTTCCAGCCTGGTTTCTCAAATTCCTCCTCTAAACACCTCAAACAGAAAGGTTCTGGTCCAAGGACGCCAAAGTTTTGACCTCCGGCCTCACTCCGTGACAGGATACTCACTGCAGCTAGTCGTGCAGCCCAGTTTCCATGCGCTCTGGGAATCCCAACGTTACCAGGCTCATCTAACAACTCCTCCCAGTTGTCGATGGACGTGTACTCGAAGTCGCTATCTGAGGCATATGAGGCGGTGCAGAAGGGTTGCAGAGTGCCAACGAAGACTTAGGGCAGGCAACGACGTTCCTTAGGGTCTTCAAGGCGAAGACGAAGCAGTTATTCCAGAAGCCAACCGACTTCCATTACCAGTCAAATTTGATTGCTACTGCTCGCTCCCCCTCATGGCTCGAAACTCCCTGAAGTTGAGATACTCGGTATAGTCCTCTTCGAGACGTCGTCGATCGTCGTTTGCTTGTCGTTCGGCGTCGTCTTCTTGTCTTCGAACATCGTCCTGCCGCCGCCTAGCGTCTTCTTGCCGTCGCAATCGCCTGCGTCGTAACTGAATCGCACAGTCTTGTGAGAAGAAGAGAGTTAGCTTGAAATAAGTATGCTGTGTTGAGTATGGATTCAGCTTACGGTTGACGGGCTTGCACAGCCACCTGCGTAATCCCGATGAGGCAATCAGGAGACAAACAAGGATGCTGGTTATCGCCAAACAGACACCAATCAAGGTGAAGATGTCCCGCCGGGATCAACTCGTTTGGGCTGGGTTGCCCAGGATGGAAGACTGGCCATCGCGAACAGAAGGTATGGACACCGATTCAATACATGGAATGAACCAGAGCACGAGCACACCAATAATTGATGTCATGACCTTTGCCAGATGATAAGACATGCGCTAATCAAGATTGCATTAATTGCTGGTAATCTTCTCCTCCAGAGCCCTTGAGCGGGTCGGTACGTGGGAATAGTTGAACAGGCTCAGCGTCTGCTTTAGCAGCTAGGTATGGAAAGATGAATGCAGAGATGGATTGAAAGCAAGATAGTGGCCACAGGTGAAAGCTTGTAAATGGACTTCTTGTCGTCTTGATACGAAGAGAATGTGTCCCATGGTCTTTCGATCTATATATCATCACTCGTAATCCAGCGTTGCGCTTCACCTCGATAATCATTGGTGCGAGGGTGCAGATACGAACAAAGTATCGTGTGGAAGACTCGACTGTTATTTCTAGGATCCCACCAGAAAGATCTCCAACGCCGTTGTAGGCACTGCAGGAGGATCCCTGCGTAGCGTGGTGGCCAGGAGATGTGCTTTCCGGACTTTCTGAATTGGCTAGCAACACGGCAGGATCCCTGCCCACTGGGGTCCTGGCTTGCCGGCAAGCCCTTCCCACGGCGAGATGGGTAAAATCCAAAAGCGTCTTTCGCGGGAGGCTACCAATGACATATTTCAGACCGGATAGGTGCCTTTATTAGGAATATAGTTGTGTTATTGACGCGCCTGTCTAGTCTGCTCGATGCGGCTCTGCCGTCTTCATGTTTGGTTTGAGAAACAGTGGAAGTTTGGTTGCGGAAGCCTAGAGCGACGGAACTATTCGACTAGATGCTAAAGAGGCATTCTAGTCAACGTTTAGCCTCTATACTGACTAATAAATGTGCATTGCTGTTTTAATGGCGTTTGAGCGGCGCTGTATGGTTGTGTTACTCGTTTGCGCCTGTTGTGCTTTGTGAAACTGTATGACCAGCTCCACGCAGGGGTCTGAACGTTATCACGCCGCGCCACCACTTCAAGCCCGTTCTGCCGGAAGCGCGTCTTACCCAGTCGCAACCACCACACCTGACCTGGCGTCCGCGCATTCTGTTCCTTTCCTTCTGCTGCATCATCCCATGCTGTCACGCTAGTGCCACGATCTGCAGCTGAAATCGACGCACCACAAGGCAGAACTACCTCTGGTAGTCAGTGTGATCAGGCCGCTGGCTGCACAGCGACCATGCAGCGCACCACACGAGACTTGGAGTCCAGATGGTCCAACGATGACGGCCATTTCCATGTAGACCGCGATGATATTGCCGTTCTATTGCGGCTGGTTTTTGTAGTGTATATTAAGCTAAGGGATCTTTGTAGTAACACGTCCATCCAGTATGCGATAAACAGTGTCGCAAAGATGCTTGCAATCAGATTTTTGGAGGAATGCGAGGAGCTCATGTGCATAGTAAGGGAGGTGATGATAGTAATAGCTGGCTGTGAACTTAGGCTTCCAAACCGCAACCCAGCTTGGTTGTACGAGGGGCATTCTGGGTGCCTGCCCATTTGTCGTTGTTTCCTACCCAAAGCGGCCGTTCTCTCCTCGCTAATGCGGTTCTCACTTCCGCCCCCCACACGCACATTTCACATCTCGCTTCAATGTCTCCAAGGCGATAGATCGCGCAAGCCTAGATATCCTGCATTCTCAGTTTCCAGATACGACAAAAGTCACGTTCTCTCTCATTTATTTAGTATCAGACAGCACTTGCCTTATCTTACA